AATAACAAGATTGTAATCATGTATACACTTACAGAGGACTGAATCCCTGACGATCCCGACTGATACGAGGGCAGCTTTTGCTTTAATGATAAATTCTTGAATGGTAGATGGATTTTCTGACGAACAACCCGGAGGAACAACTGGTAAAGGATCCTGAAAAGCTAAAATATGTCAGTTGAGATGGTGCCACGTTTGTTAGTATGAAATAAAACAATTGTTATATGAACATAAAACAAAATACTAACCAGCTCCATGATTCCTCGATACATCATCATCAGGGCCTTCTTTCCATAATGACTATCGTAGTTATAAGCACTCAAAGATGGGCCCGCCCTAATATATTGATAAATCAAGTACAAATGCAGTCAATACATATACATTACACTTCTGCTGATATTGCTCCTATTGAGATTTTCAGCGCTTCATCAAAACGTGTAGATTGACAATAAGCTCACCTGCGATCTCCTTGCGTCAAAGCTCCAAGAGATTCTAATCTCTTTGCAACAATGGATGCAAACCGCCGTTCACCACCAAGGTTTGTGAACAGAAGCCTGAACTACATAATAACAAATCATCTAGTAAAAAAATCCTTGAAGGCATCAATCTCTTGAGATATTATGCTATTTGTTCCCGCTCTATTTAAAGGAAAGTAAAATCTTCAAACTTGAATGACACATCATTACACTACATTTGTGGAGAAATCAAGGAAACAGAAGTACAACATTGAGTTACAGCTGCTAAAATTCTCAGTCATAGTTGGCCACTGCTACCAATTTAAATAAACTAAATACATTGTATATATGAAATTCTGACGTACAGGATAGATCGGCAAGTGAGTAACGTAGGTAGGTCTTCAAAGATCTATTAAAATAGCTACAGTTTGTTAAAGTCATCACGTGACATCAATCTTATCATTAGTTTGGTACTGTCATCTGTTAATTTACCAACATAACCCTAGTTAATATGCTTACTTACAGGACTACACTTACATGAGGTTTCAGTTTAGAGTATGGGTTCGTACAAAGTCCTTATTCAGTCAAATGTTATTATTTCAAGTGCAGATGCATACTAAAGGACTGCACTTACATAGATACCTTAGATTTCAACTTACGTAGATACCTTAGATTTCAAAAAGATCTTAAACAAATAGAAGACTAGAAGGCTACTCAAAAACCAAAATCTAAATTAAATTGAGGGAGGGAGGAGGGAGGGTGGCGGGGAGGGCAGCACTTAATTTTGTATAAGGGCATCCGAAATGAAGTATTTTTTTTTTAAGAGGAGCAATAAACATAAATGCAAGTCCTTAAAAGCAGACCTATATTCAGGTGCAGACGCTTGATTAGAACGATGAGTTCTTCCAAACTGTTGGATGGCACGGTCAGCACTCCAAGGAAGCTCCAGAGTTAAATGTACCCTTCTTTTCTGGAAAAAGCAGATTCATGCAAGAACTCAGTAGACAGCACATTAATACATTAGCATCACCAGAGAATGTAAGAATAGGGAAGGATACAGCAGACAAAATGTACCTGATTTAATGCCCTTCTATCTGCTTGCAGAGAGACACCAGCTGATCCAGCTTCAGATATTATAGCAACTGACTTTTTACCATCCATAAATAATTGTTTTTCATGCATATTTACCATTTCCATGGCAACATCTTTTCTGAAAATACAAGATGAAATTTAGTTTCTAAAAGTAATAAGATGATTACAGATAAAAACCATATCCAAAAAAAATTCATTCTCACGTGTTCCGCGCCTGATAAACAACACCTTTTCCACCTGAGGCCCTTATAAGCATACCCCGCCTACCAGTCATCTCTGCGACCTTTTCAGGTCCTCCTAGCTGAAAATATGTGTGCAAATAATTCTTGATTTACAAAAGGCAGTCTAATGATTAAAACAGACAGAAGAACATTGACTGCAGACGTGGAATAGCTTTTGGTTGCCATTATCATGTATATAGTTTCCATACACAGAACCAACTGAAAAGCACCCACTCAGAAGCAACATGATTATTACAATATATCATAATAATATATAACGAGAGTAATAATCCAAAATAAGAATAGCCTTTTAGGCATCATGTAAAGCATCAAAATCAACAGTGCTTCTGATGTTTAGATATGGATAAAACTAGATCAAAAGAATATAACTGATGAATATCAGCATGAAAATATAGGAGTTACTGTGCCTGTATAAACTGGCAAGATAATAAAGTGTTTATTTCTTTTAAGAGGCAATACTCACAAGGGAAACTAAAACTATTATAAATTTTAATGACACAATAAATACAAGATACTCCAGTAAGTTCAACAAGCTGACAAGTAAGACTTCATCATTCTGTTTTTTATAAGAAACAGAGAGTTTCTAATGAGTATATTAATAATTTTAAAACCATACACTCTGTTTACAACTCATTATCAAAAACTTTAAAAAGGCATCATCAGATAGCCACCAACCAAGGAACTTAATGGCTATAGGGAAATAAATACAAATAGTTGATAACTGATATTAGCAGATAACTTCATGTATTTTATGCTTTTGATAGTCTAGCAACTATTCCATGTTAATTTGACGGATACAGAAGACAATACAAATGATGCAAGCCATCAGATGCTTCAAAGCAGCAGAAATGGTTTAGTTCTCTTCATTGGACATGAGAACGGAATTCAGGAGAACTGCATTTAGTAGGATATCATACGCTATGCACTATACAGTTTATTCAAATATAAAGATTTAAGAGATACACGCACCATAAATTTTGTTACAGATAAGTACCTGATCAATTATATCATCAAGAGGATTGTTGGGCAGGTCCAAAGATCTAATAATGTCCATAATCTTTAACTTTCGTTCATTAGCAGCTTCATATCTGACCGTTCCAATCAGAGCATTAATTTTGGGATAAAACTGGCAACCAAATGTCATGATAGGCCAGTTCAAATCTATACCTCTTCAGAAGTTCAGCAACATAGGCATCCCTTGCTTGTAGATACTCATCAGTTTTCATCTTACATGAGTAACATGACCAATCTGCAGGGATTGCATCTGTCCAAGGAGGCATCAAACAAGCAGGGTGGACTTGCTGGCCACAACAAGAGCAGCGAAGCAACAACTTTTTCTCCTTTTACAATGACAAAGCCATCAGTAACTCTTGATGAAAATGGGGGGGAAAGAAAAAGATGCCATAAAGTATACCAAGATAAACAATAAACAGTAAAGATCACCTCTTCACTGTTGCATATCTCACACATTTGAAACTCCTCATCAGATTCTGCTGACTCATGATCAGAATCAGCTGCAATAAGCATGACGCTTTATCATCATCTTGTTAATAGATTATGAAGAATTTAATTCATCTATACGAACCATTCAAAGTATAAGTAAATAAATTTGAGCAAATTATTTAAGAAAAAACTGTATGGTTTTGGTCATCAATGTAAATATTTTATCAGCTTGATAAAACAATTGATTAGTGGCTTCACACCACAAAACAACTAGAAACTAGCACAAACTTGAACTATAGAATTAATAGCAAAATCCAACTAGGAAAGATATGAAACTAAGTAGCAAAATCCAACTAGGAAAGATATGAAACTAAGTAACCACACCTCATTCAAATCAAAGATATTAATGCTAAATGCATGTCATATGACAATCTACTAGAGAATTCATTTATAGTTATGATGAACTCATATGAAGATAACACATTTTGTTATCTAGTAGTTATGATGAAATCATATGAAGGTAACACATTTTGTTATATAGTAGAAATCCTCTACATCCTTAGTCGTAGAGGTTGTCTACAACTAAGGGTGCAGTGGTTCACTGTTTACCAACCAAATCTTCACACTGTGGGTCCCATGAATGATACTGTTTATCTAAATTATATAAAAAAAACTTTTAATTATGGGGCCCAATGAGATAAACCAATAGTATTTGCCCACTTAATTGTAGAGAATCTGGAGTTACACTGAAGGAAGATTTTATTTTCTGTACATTGGTTCAACTCAAACCTAAAATAGCACAATGTAAGTTCTGGTTCTGCCATTCTGCATTAAAGCCTTCTTAGAATAATACTAATTTACAACACATGACTCATCTAAAAAGCTACAATACAATATCAGTGTCAACTTTCTTTCACCTTCACTCAACTTTGATTTAAGTATTAGGAAAAAGAATAGCATAACTAGGGCATGGATATGTGGTAAACCGGATCACTGAAACAGACACGCTGTATTCGATTTGAGCACGTTTGCCGTAAAATATAAACTCGGCATGAGAATAGCTTGTTTGATCTAGATGATCCAACCTTCTATCTATCATCATGCTTGACCTTTCCTTTGTAACTAAGCTGAAGCTCTATCTTAACTTGTCATATGTATAACTGAATGAGGTGTACTTGCTTTATATTTAACTTGGAAGTTGAAACTATGGCCTTTCTCTAAGTCTTTGCTGAGCTCATTCTATCTCTAAGTTAAACTCGCCATATTCCTGCAACAGCTAGCATCATTTAAGATTTTTAGATGCTAATTCTAGTAACTATTAGAAATCTATATTAAATAAAGTATAAGCTAAGATCTACCTAAATAGTTTTCTGGCAAGTATAGCATAGTGAATACCAAGCAAACCAATAAAAGAAACTCTTGCATGGCAATAGACTAATGTACAGTGACTACAGTCTACTGTAGTGAAATTTGGGTATTATGCATAATCTTACATATTTCACAGGGAGTATTTGAATAAACTTCTTATTACATTAAAGAGCATTAGTATATCAATTTTACTTAAGGAATTGAAACTCACATTCAGCTTCTGCATCACTTTCACTATCACTTGAAGCTTTCCATTTCGCCACTTTTCTCACTCTTCCTTTAAATGACACACCTGGGGTAGCTGAGTGCCTCTTCCGTTGAAGCTCTCTCACACTTTCTTCACCTATAGAGATGTTAGAAAGAAATCTAGACATCAATTTTGGTGGAACTAAAGGAAAAGGGAGCCTTAGCACGTTATACACATACCTTGTACTATGTCAGGTTTCTGTGGCAAAGGATAGTTTTCTTCCACCAACTTGAGTAGTAGTTCTCGGGGACCAGAAACAAAGTCATCCAACTCAGCACCCTGCTCCATTACGTTTCCAGCCAAAATTTTGAAAGCTCACAACTAAATATCGGAGATCATAAAGAAAATGTAGGTTGAAAGTAAAGAAACAATTTTATACACAGAGTCATGAAATAAGAAACGCACATATTTGGTTACTGCTTCCTCAGTGCGAGCCTCTCCAGTGCTCTGAAGGCCAATTACAACACATTTATTATCTACTAATGCCTGCTTGGCTAGTCTTACAGCAGCAGGCACCTTAGCTGACATGCACATGTGCCTAAAAAACCGCTGCAAATCCCAAAATCACAAAATCCAGTTTTTCAAAATAACAGATCCCAAATAGGCTCAAATATAGGGGAAATTTTGTTCGGAGTTGAAAATGTATTACCTGATGGCTGGCCCAGTACAAACGCCACAGCTGGCTAGAAGTGGGTTTTTCCTCAGAAAGGAAAGCACTTGCAGATAACAGTTCAACTCGTAATTCGGCCCAGAATTCAGCAGCCTTCTTATACATCTCCTATTGAATGAATTGACTATTAATAGCTACTATTAGAAATGATAGAAGCTAGTAAAAGACACAATGATGCATAAAAAGTAAATGTTGTCTATGAAGTCACAATTTGGGCACCATTGCAACTCCAGTAAATAATGCCAAAAAGAAATATACAGATAAAAGTTTGTCCAGTTTCTCAGATACAAAAAAAATGAAAGAAGCTAGTAAAAGAAACAAGGATTCAAAAAAGTAAGTGTTGTGTATGACTTCACAGTTTTGGCAGCATTACAACTTCAATAGATAATGCCAAAAAGAAATACATATAAATAAAAATAGCCCACTTTCCCAAAAAGAAACCCAATCCTCTTGCCACCTCCCTTGACTCATACGCTTGTAGCCCAGAATTGAACTAGAAGAACCACTTCCAAAGAAATGAATCAAGGTAGCTTTCTGATGTGATGGAACTGTTTCTCAAAACTTAAAGTATGCTCACTCTTCTTGGAGCACCCAATGTTCAAGTACGAACTTCAAAACTAGAGACATAAGTTGGAAACAACATGTTGAAGACACTGTTCTCCAATGCAAGCATGCATAAGTAAAAATATGAAAAGTAAGCATAAGTAAATCTACAGAAATAATCCTACTCCAGGTGTGAAGCTTAAAAGAGAAAAACATAAGAGACTTCATATACCATCATATTCTCCTCCAATGGGGCTTCAATAACTTCAAACTCAGCTCCTTTATAGCTCAACGTACGACAAACATACATACCCCTAAGAAAGAACGAAGGTTTTTAGAAACTATTATGAACATAAGTAACTGCTTTATGAGAAAACACCAACCTTGCCTTCATATCCATCGCAACAAGTTCCAGGGCTCCTACACCACCTTTATCAAGAGCTCCTACACAACAATTGGCATACATGCAAAACCATTTAGAATCTTCTTTTGAGAAACCAAAAAGCATTGATGGTAGAACTGCATGGCGGATACCAAAAGAATTGTTGTAAAATAGAGTGGATAAATCTTAGTGGTTGGAAGGAGAATGAAAACATTCTGCTCGTACAGAAGAAATCAGTCCAGGAGGATAAAATGGTGTACTACCTAGGAACAACAAACAAAAGAAGTCTTTATCCTAAATTATCAGATGCCAGCTACATGAATCTTCTTTCTCCTTTTCAGCATCATTAAGCAGCTACCACTGTTATATTATTAACTATATCTCTGCTATATTAATATTAAAAACTATTTTCTAATCTATCTAGTGCCTAAGAATTTGATGCATATTCTAGAATCTTGTCTGACATACATTTGAGTGCTTACTTCACGGTGGGAATGACCATCAACATAGCTGAATGTAACAAAAAGGATTCATGTAGCCTATGTTGCATGGGTACAGGTACATGACACGGTAAATTTGTAAAAGATAAGGTACGGAGACACGGCTATATAAATATTTATATACACATATACATATAATTTATTGGAATTAATACTTTACATTACATCAATATTGTTTCCATTCACATGTTATAAGTATTAAAATCCCTATAACATTTTTATGTATCTTTTATCATGTTGATTATAAATTGAAAAATAGCTAGTTTTTGAACTGAACATCCAAATGACTCTTTAAAATTGGAACCTGACCTATGTCCAAGAGTTTCAAGAAGTGTTCAGAAAATGTATGACAAGTGTTTTAAATTAAAACATGTATAGTACAATTGAGTAGATGCCCGAATAAATGTCTGCATATATGCAAGGAGTGCCAAGGAGTCTGGGTACGGGTACAAGTACAGCACTCAGATAGAAGTACCCAGGTAATGTAGCATATAGCCAACTCGAAAAGTCTGTGAAAAGTTGTAATGCTGTTATCAAATAATGAAAATGAAACGAGATGAGACAAACCTAAAAAATCATGAAACTTAGGGAAACATGTTCCAGATCCCCATAGTCCAAGCCTCGCCATGTATCCCATATTGCGTGGCTCAGATGCACCAGTTGCTGAGCAATAAACAACTCGAGCTTCAGGAAGTCGGGCCTGTTATGTTAGAAACCTGTAATTAGTATATAAGTGATATATCTGCAGAATCACCAACGCAAAGATAATCTGAAAATTACCTTATCCAATGTGCCTTTTCTAGTTAGAGTGGTAGAGAATCTAGAGATATGTGTTATTTCTTAAAAAAAGATATAAGAGAGAACTGATTATTTTAGAACAAGGAGATGATTGATATGAGAACATTTGATTAGAGTTCATAAAATTTAAGTAGGATTAGATTCAGATGGATTTCAATATGGATCACAATCATTAACTATTTATTGACTTGATATGTTTCCAAAGAACAAATCCGACTTCTCCTCCTTAGTACTAACTTTTCTATAGCTAATGACTAAAATACCACTATAGGAAGAAAAGAGAGGGACAAGGATCTAACATATCTGCTATAAGAGCGCAACTATGTACTGTGACGAGCTGCTCAAACAACAATTGAAGTTTCAGACAAGAATTAAACCAGGAATTGCAGACCATGGACATTTATTTCATCATCTTTCAAGCTTATGGTTCACGACGAAGGTAAAGACAGGGTATAGACGCACTTTCTCGTAACCTCATTTACACGTGCTTTGCACTGCAAATGCATTTCTTATCTGTTTTCCGAGCAGCACACACCTGAATTACTTGAAGCATGTTCCTGAATGTCTTTTTAGACATTGCTTAGTTCCTACGATGTAGAAGTTTATCTGTGTTCTTTAGATATATACTTACTATCCATTAGATGAAAAATCAGATTCAAGCATAATGCAAAAAAGCAAAGAACATTTTTGGTAGTTTTATCATAATTCTTGGATAAAAAATACTTTTGTGTTGCTTCTGAAGTTACGAACTTACGAACATTACAATAACGATATATCGCAACCCAACTCCTTGACAAAAATGAAAGATGAGTTAAAACCTCATCTAGAAGAGACCTGATACACTGATCATAAAGAGCATCTACAAACATCATGTAGGTGAGAAACTTTTTTGTATTCGACCTCATGTAAAGATGAAAAAGGAAGACAAATGTAAAAGCATGTTTAAGAGTATAATAATGATTAGCTTCATGTATTGAAGAATTTGCAATGAATAAAGACTTCTGAATTACATGATGAATCATTACATGAAACAAGGACTCGTGACTGAGAAATGTGGCACACATGAGAAAATCCAAACACGAGTATGAAAAATTAGAAAAAAAAAATAGCACTAAAGAATTAACAAGATAAGTTGTGTCTCTGGTTTAGAAACACATGTCAGGATTCAAAATTTTGATGGTTTGGTCTAATGCATTAACCTGGAGATCAAGAACTGCTTCGCCTGTGCGTGTAGGCTGGCTCCCTGCTTCAGGAATCAGATTTTTGGCTTTGTGACACTGCATTTAATTTACAAATCAAAATTAACGATCGATATTATGTTGAGACTAATCGGAAAAAGAAAAGAACATTGAACACTCCTATGAAACACATCATGAGATATGAACACAACGTTTAAATACTGCCATACCTCATCAAACACCACAAGACCATCAAATTCTGACCCACACCACTGCACCAACTGCTGCAGACGAGAACGGCCTTTCTCAGATGATGCAATGAGGCTGCTGTATGTCAGAAAAACAACTCCTTCCTTGATGCCAACAGCCCTTGAATCAAGCTTGGAGTAAGGAAGCTTGTTCAAGGCATGAACTGCAAAGAGAAGAAATATAACTTGTTTTAAAATTCAGCATAAAATAGACCACCATAGAGATCGACCACATTACTTGACATGGACACAATAAAAGAAGGGAGAGGTAATGGAAGAAAATCATTGCATCGTGTGAACAAATTTTACTACCTAAAATGTGCATTGGTCATGTCACCTTTCCCCTTTTTTTACGTAACAACCCGTGCTTTACAAGTAACCATCTAACAGCATTATAAGGAAGTCTAACGAAGAGAAAAAGAATTACAAACTGCATGTGCACTGTGAATTCGGTGACCCTGTTGTAGTTATAAGATTTAGTAAGCTGACTATACTAGGCTCGTAAGGAAAAAACGATGTTCAAAGTACTCTAAAAATGAAGTTTAAACTACTCTGGCTGTTGGAGTTATTTTATAAATTTAAAAAGATCATAAGGTTGGGTTTGTCATACTTTTGAAAAGATAAATATATGTATACAGTTTTGATTGTACATGGAAAAAGAATAAAGCAGCGTCCAACTAAGAATGCTCGTCATATTTTTTAAATGATAATTAGTGGAAAGAGATGAGAAACAGAAAGCAAAGGATTTAATTTTTCCTGTCAATAGGGAGTCAAAATAAAACAGAAAAAATCGCCAAGAGACCCCACCAAATTCTGGATCTCAGATGCCAACAAGGCTTAAACTATTTTGTAGTTTTTCTTACTTAAAGCTTTCCTCCAACTGATGACATTAGCACAGAAGTGGAAGTAAGGTGGTACTTTGCAATTCAGGCTAAAATTGGGCACATTGGGTTTAATAGTTTTAGTTTTTCAGCTTTTGGATTTAAATAACTAGCCCAATAACTCAATCCAATTGATTAATATGTAAAACCTCTACCATAATTCAACAATCAATACTCTCATCTCTTCTGTATCCTGTTTGATCTAATTCCATTTGAACCCATATTCGCTGCACCACTCAGACTTCTGGCACTGGTTATGCCACCGACTCCAAAAACCCTAACACCAACCAAATACCCTGTTTTCTCTCTTCTTACTTACCTAACAAGACCCTCTGTGCTGCAGCCCCCCACTTTTCCACGCAAAAACGAACTTCTTCTGTTCTTCCTCCTGGCCTGGATACTTCGACCAGTCACAGATCATGACCATGTTTGTTGACGCGTTGATCGCCAATGACCAGACTTTATGGTTGTTTAGTTTACTTATAACTTAGAGGTAATAGTTAACAAATGTGTTCCGTTATTTTGGCAATGGGGCTTGGCCATGTTTTTCTTCTTCTTCAGGAATTAATAAATATAATGAAAGAGAAAAGATGTCTTAAAGTGGCAGGTTCATCTGTTCATTGTTTCCTTCATTTGTTTAACTCCAAGTAAATAAGAAATAAAGCATCTCCCATGACATGAGTTAATCAGCAATTTAATTGATTTTTCCTCTTGCATGACCTCGGCAAAGATCATCATCAAATGCTACTGCTTCTTAGGTCATAATACTTCTAATACATAGATTACATGCAGAATTTCACAACAATCCTTAACATATAAATATCATACAGAATCTCCAGAATAACTGTAATTGACTCATGTCCCGGAACATATCACATAACCAAGATGGATGACCCTACCAGATATGAACAAAAATGTCCGATATCTGAACACTACTTACAAGTTAAAATAGCAACAACCAAAATGCTCTTTGCCCAAATTTTTGGAGATTTAGCTTTGTAGACTTTTTTTCTCCAATGAGCTCTGGTATGATTAATAAGATTCTTTTTATTTACATTGGGATGCCACCAAGAAACATCGTAAAAGCATGTCTTTCACTAACAAAAAGTTGGGAGGCACATTTTGGAAACCAAAACTGTATTCATCATGGTACAAAACTACTACATTTTAGTTAAGGATACCAACTAATATTGATCCATACATTTACTTCCCCAACTTAAAAGCCCACATGTGCCAAACCATGTGTTGCTTCCTGCAACAAGATCTAACCTCCTTGATAAAAGTTTATAACATCATCTACGAAAAAATACAGCAGCAACTATGTCCCAAATAGTTAGGGTTTCAACATAAATCATTTATTCTTTTTTCTCCATCTAATTCTTCTCAGAGCCATCCCCTGTGTTAAATTAACAGCTAGACAACTTTTTCTTTAACACCATGGTTACTTCACCATAAATGTTCACCACACCCAAGTAACAGTGGAATCAGTTTTATTATTGATTTAAAAGTACTATTGCATTCCTTAATATTATTCTCTAGCAAATTAAACTAAATAGAGCTTTCATGAGTTGTCAATCATAAATGTTCACCAGATTCCAAGTACTCATCTGATGAAATCTTCTTTACGATAGTTAGTTCAGTTTGAATATTTTTATCTACCAAATAGAGCAAGTATGGATAGCAATGCATGAGATGATGTTTTCATTTTAATTTAAAGGTAAAATATTTAGTTCAAAAAGATTTAAAGTAACATTTCTAGAAAAACTAAGGCGAAAAAGCAATAGATCAAGTATTATGATTTTACGGAAGCAAATAAAGTTTGACTTAAACATCAGAAGTTTGAAAAGGTAAATCATCAATATAGAAACATGTTATTAATTCTTTCCAAAAATGAGATTATGTATAATAGGTAGGACACTTCCCTCAAAAAAAGCCGTCTTTAACACACTTGGACTGGACATGGTCTATTCAGTGTCCACATCTGACAGTTAACAAATTCATAACTTCTATTTACCTTATAATTATATTTTGAGGCATATCATGCACCTTCTGACTTCTGACAAAAGCTAATAACTTTATAAATCATTTGACTAAAAATTAGGTTTTTCACATAATAGCAGCAATAAGTACATTTTCATATAAATAAATTCTCAAATGACATGACATACATATGGTTATGTCCTCCTGTTTGGGTTCTGAACAACTGTTGTATCTGGGCACCTTGGGATTGTTCCAAAGCACCATGTCTATCAATCATACAATTTATTTGCTTTAACTAAATGTAGGTTCTCGTTTACTTTTTTCCTTTTTGTGGGTCAAATATGTACACCGTCAGTTCTGAGCTAAGGAAAATTACGTTCCCATATGCCAATAATTGAATGCATTTCTTCAGCAAAGTAAGTTTTAAACCGCGACCATGAAAGTGTTTAGTGTACTCTGAAATAGGAAGTTCTATGGAAATTCATTTGAACTGACAAACAGAACTTGAGACTGACGAAATGTTAACGCTTATTGCTGCTTTATGCATTTTTTGATAGGTAATTCAGAATCATGCAATTGTTTATATAATGAATTAATGGGTAATAACTCTAATAACTGAACTGGGAAGTTTCCTATTTATTTTCCTTTTTCATCTTGAATTTTCTTTTAGTTTATCATGTTTCTTGTCCTTTGTCTGTCTCAAACTTCCCCAGGATACAACCACATAAAAGAGGGAACATTTCTTTTGCGATCTTGAGCTGAAAGCTATTAACTTTGCAGTAGGTCGTGTATCCCACAGATTCATGACCTTGCCTGCACCCGATCTAATACTTCTTTGGTTGTCAGGTCAATAAGAGTTTGACGTGTCTTGAGTGTCCGCGTGCATGCAAATTATTCGAATAAATAATGAACTGCTTGTTTAAAAAGACATTGAACCAATCTTATTATTTCATCAGACATCACAAACGACATATTCATGCTAAAGTTTCTGGAAGCAAATTGAATAAATTAAAGGTTTCCATCTTGCAGCTCCAACAATGCAAGCTTCTTCTTATAATGTTAGAAAACATCACAGTAGAACGATTAAGATTCGGTAGGGTATAAAGTGAGGTTTAGTGATCAGTTTTTTATTAATAAAAGCGGTCCTGCACAAAATAAACTAAAGTAAAGGATAAAGAGTTGTGCAGTGTAAATAAACAAGATAATCTCGTATGTACAAACATATTAGTTTCTGAGCTTGATTACTCATATACCTTCAACACATGTTGCGCCCACATCGTCCAAATCTCTACGTGCATCAAACTTCAAGTCTGAACCTACAGAAATCCACCTGCAGAAAGGCCGTCATGAAGATGACAAGTGAACAAAAATGACGAATTAAAGATATGGCAAACACACTTATTAATAGTCAATCCCAAAAGGCACTTCAATTTCGCTAATAAAATCCCCCAAAAGAAACAAACTTGCGTAGGAAAAGACTTCAACCCAGGTTATTGACCAAAGAGCAGAGTGATTAGCGCTGCAGTGCAGTAGGACCTTTTACACGAAAGGAAATTGCTCCTCCCTTAAACACGTCTCGGAAATGAGATTTTAGACAACTCATCCAACCTGTCTACAGGAAGGCACTTGAATAATAGCATGTGATCAGAAAGCTTACAGTGATTTACGCCTCCGATAATGCCAATTCTCCCAGATCAATCCAGCAATAGTTCGGCCTTTACCAACACCAGCCCCGTCACCGATAAAAAAACCAGCCCTTGCACCATTTTCGAGGTGTTGAAGATGTCTCTGCCATAGAAAGACAATGTGTTCATTGAGACAAACATGCAATTGAAAAACAAAATTCTTTATATTTTAGTGCAGTTTAAATTTCCAGTAAGGAAAACTCAAATAACCTGACAAGCATAAACTAATGTTTCAATCTGCAAGCAAGACAATGCTTTGGAGTTCTCTAGCTCATCCATAATTTTAAGATTATATGTAGGTTCAGGAGGCTGCACTGCTGACAGGGAAGATGTTTCTACCACAGGATCTGGATGAGGATGGCCAAGTGATAGCTTGGGAGGACGCTACAAATCAATCCAACATATGAGACATGTAAGTTATCATGCAAAGACTGGCATTAACATTGGAGAAATAGATGCCACACAGATCAAGTAAAAATTCTATATATTCATGTGCCAGCACTTAATCTTACGTAGTCCATAAAGGTTTCACCAACCGGACCACCTTCGTCTTCTTCCCTCTCAACATCAATTGCAACCTGAAATATATCATCACAAACAAGAAATAAATTAGCTAAGAGCTGAACAAGTTAAATTTGTAGCAAGGTAATAGTTGCCAAGCAGAGGCAGAAAAGCAGCCATCTTTCGGTATATTTTCGCACAAAAAAACAAAAAAAAAAACTACTCGTCAAGGTGAATAAACACCATCGGTGATGTGCTAATTATCTTTATTCTTCATTCATCTTCCAAGCTATCATAAGGAGGATAGTTTAACTATCTATAAAAATAACAAGACGTGCAGAATTATATAAGCTATCTAAGAATCAAGCTTATAAGTCACTTTGGAAAGATAAATCAGACAAAAGAATAAGAAAGAAAGTGTTGTTCAAGAACGAATTTGGTGTATGGCCAAGAGATCGAATATGGATACTATCTATTTACCTTGAAAGTTAATTGTATTTGTAGGATATAGGCCAGAACCGATGTTTAAAAACACGGTTTTATTATTTGCGCCGGTGTGGGAGCTTTTAAAGATTAATCAGATTAAGCATTGATTAAGAGGAATTATGTGTTTTTGAAAATTTTAATATATTTTTAAATAACTTATCATATGTTCAAATATATAAAATTCATGAAAATAGAAAATATACTAAGAAAAGACCAAGAAACATGCAATTTAACAATCATAAATTAGTTGACTACTTAAAAGTTCAATCGATATATCAAATGTAATTAGATACTTACATAAAAGTTGTTAAATTAAGCATTTAAACCAAAACTAAACATCCATAAAACAAAAAAAAATCATCTAGTCTTACTCATCATCCTTATAATGAATATCAGCATCCAACTCCTCTTTGGCGGGAGCAGAAGAGGAGAAAGTTTTTTTTCTTTTCTTTTTCTTTATTTGAGAGGTGGAGCTTTGGTGGAGCTTTGTTGGAGCAGCGATGCTGCTTTAGGATTTTTTGGGAGCAACGGAGGAGATGAATCGTTTGAGAAGAGAGAAAAAGTGACGAAATAGGATTAGGTTTTGGATTTTATGCCAAACGGGTAGCGACCTTTTAATTTTCGAACCAAACCCGCAACCAAAAAAGCGCCTGTATAACTCAGTTATGCGGGCTCTTAATCAAACCCGACTCGTTCAAGCGGTTGGCCGCTTTTTGGGCACTTAACGCCAATTATACGTGGATTTAGTCCGTTTCTACTTAATCAGCTGATTAAGCGGCCGCGTAGTGCTTGTTTTAGAACATTGGGAGAACATAAGAAATAGTATGATGGATTTTAGAAAAAGAAGCAAGTGCAGTAGGTATCTTAATATGGTAGGATAAGCGGTTAATATAGTGGTGAGTAACTTGTGTGAGAACAATTCAAATTTGAATGGAGAATAGTCTTCCCCCAGTCATCATATGCTTTAAACCAAGGATCAGCATTTATGTCATATCTCTCTACTTTAGATATCATGAGCTTAGTTATGCACCTAACTTAAGCTCCATCAGAGGATTTTCATGTATAAAGGTGAAGAGAACTTTTAGAATATAATGGTTTAGAATTAGCAAATAAAAAGACAAATAACAGAAATTTTAGCAGAATAATTAAGAAATAAGCATATTGTATAAAGAATAGCCCTAGTTGTCATTTCCCTGCTTAGAACCAATCGCTATAATGACATGGTTCAGCTCAAAAAATCAAAGTGGGATAGGCACAGAATCCCACATATGGAGAGTCTGCTTCCGCGGATTAAACCTAAGAGCTCCAGGTTACAACAGACTTGACAGAAAGCATTTCTTTATTGATTTTACACATATTAGAACTGAAGTGCCAGCTTATTACATAGAAGCCAATTTACTCACTACTCTTATCGAGAAAACAAAGAAATATACAACAAAGCAATTTTACCAGGAAAAACAAAGGTCCAAGCTATTCATCAAATGTATGAGTCTATGACACAGAGATGAAGCTGATGTTGATGCATTCTATAGCATCCAAATTTCACCTACTAAACTACATACCAATTATTCAACATAGTCACCACGAAATTCTAACTGAATTCATCTCCTGATGGACCTAATCACAAAACCCCTGGAAACTACTAACTGGGGCTTCCTCAATCCAAATGGAGTTTAAACCCTATGTACGGAGAGTTTGCGAACCTAAGACCTCCAGGTAAAGATGACGAGCCTATTTGTTTTTAACACACATTATAATGGAAAATCAGCTTATCATCTTGCAGCCAATTACGCCCAGCACTGTTATCAAACAAATAGATGATACATCTGAAAACAAGTAGTATTACCTATCAAAAGCTCCGGTCGCAATTAGACAGAGCAAAGGAGCATGATCAAACTTCACCCTTTGACATTGATGCACTCTAATAAAAAAACCAATCTCACCTGCTAAACTTCCAACTGACACCCCAATCAAATTACCACACCCCTAGGAGGCGACAGCGAACTCGAGGGTGAGGCGGGGAGCAGTGGTGAGCTACGGCGACGAGGTCGGGCGAAGGAGAGGAGAGAAGGCAGCGGCGAACTCGAGGGCCGAACTCGCAGAGCGCAGATCTGGAGCCCGACATCATGGTGAAGGGCGTAGTCGTGGGCGGGAGCGGGGCTTGAGAGCTTGAGAGAGGAGAAGAGAGAGAGAGAGAGAGAGAGAGAGAGAGAGAGAGAGAGAGACGAGATGAGAGAGTGATGAGTTTGAAGGATTGAGGAGAGGGGATAAGGACATTTTGGGGATTTAGATTAGGTGACATGTAATAAATGTTAAAAATGGGCTGCAGCAAAAAAATATCATATTTTAAGGGGCTGAACCACAGGGGGGAAAGTTGAAGGGGCTGCAGCACATGAAGTTAGTGCTTTTGGGGCCTCGACACAATTTTTCCTTTTATTTTTTATTTTTTTAGGGAGTGTTGTGATCTGTCAGTGAGAGGGTCAGGGTTAGGGTTAGGGTCTGGGTGGGGTTTTGATTTCGAGATTTTTGCCTCTCTTCACTCGAGAAGAGGGAAGGAGACGAGGGGAACGAGAATGAAGGGGTGGGCTCGCTTGATGTACATGTACTGATGACGTACATGGGATTAGTTTCTCGTTTTTTTTTTTTTCCTAAAAATAAGATGATATTAATGCGATAAACAATTACACATGTGATGATGACAAGCGGGCAACAAGCTGTGCCGCTAATATAAAAATATTACACATGTGATGATGACAAGCGGGCAACAAGCTGCGCCGCTAATATAAAAATATTACACATGTGATTATGACAAGCGGGCAACAAGTTGCGCCGCTAATCCTTTCTGAATTACAAAACCTAACCTACGAAACACATACTCAGCGGACCCTGTTGTCGCCACATTCTTATTCGCGAATTTCTGAACCATCCTGAGGAACTCCACCGCATCAGCTGCAAAGAAACCAAACGTGTCGAAAGCGAACGGGATGAAGCTGTGGTGGTTGTCCTTGCAAGCTTGATCATGTTTGCCCACCTTAGCCTCTGCCGCTCTATCCGCTGCATGTCCAATCTTGAACTCTCCATTACCAAACCCCACCAAACGGAGACACCCATGTAAGATCAACAGAAGCGTGCTTCCCCCCACTCCAATTGTAGACAAGAACGTGTGCCGGCCTTAGAGTAGATCTAGCCTCTCCAGGAGGAGTGAGAAAGTCTGCCGGCCTTTTTTCGGTTTTTTTTTAATATTAATATTAATGTTTTAGCGCTTAATATTTACAATTAGGTACCTCAAATCATTGAGATTGCTGTTAGGTCACCCAACTCTTATTAGCCGTTTCAAAATTAGTCCCTCAGATTACCGAAATTGCAGTCAGGTCCGCAAGTTATTCCGTGTTGCTGCAAATTATTCCCTTCAATTGAGAGCAGCATTAGCAGAGTGTAAGAACTGGCGGAGCTAATAGAAATTTGAATTATTCGAGGGGCAAATTCTAAAATACTTAGGGGACTAATATCCGGACGGCCCAGTGCTTGTGTGTCATTTATGCATCTCAGATATCGAATTTATATTTTTTTTTTGTATTTCATGTCCCAAAAAAGATTTATTGTAGCTCATTTATATGTTACATAACGCAAACATTATAATATTCAAAAGGATTATTCTATAAATTTTATGTGATACGCCCGAGACAATATTAATACCTCTTGACTAAGTGAAATGACAAATAAATATTATTTCAATCTCCCGTTACTTAATTGTTGTATGTAGCCGGTCCTTGACTCTTCCCTATAATTCTCCTCCGTTTCATTTTTCCTATGTATTTTGATGTAAAATGTAGTATAATGCTAAATTTGAGAGCGACACTGATAGAGTGCATGCATCAAGTTAAATATGAATACATTTAATCAATTTTACCCTTTTTAAAAAAATAGAGGTCTAATAGAAAAAGTAGAAATAGTGAAAACGGAAGGGAACACAAGTTTAGAGTATGAAAGTACTAAAACCAAAAACAAGTTAGGACATGGAAAAATATATAAAACTCAGTTGTCGTCAAATAGTCATCCTGTACGCCGTTATATATGCATGCATGACGCATGAGCATGAAAATAAAATAGTGAAATATGAGGGAGCTAAACTTGGTGTTTTAGGATTTTAGGATTACTGCAATTATTAAGCACATAAATTACAACCATACACAGGGTTGCCAAACCCGTGTGCTTAATGAATAATAATTAAGACAAAGTGAGGTTTTTAAAAAAAAAAAAATTAATTGACTTTCAATGAAAGTTGTTGACATGGCTGAAAGTTGGTCGATTTCTCAATTAAATTTTGAAATGGGTCAATTTTTGTAATCAAATATTAAAAACAATTTTTGTAATCCAACAGGTACCGGTGTAAAGATGGTGTTATATTTACTAAGCATGGCGTTTGTTTTGTGGATTGCTTGCTGCGGTTACTCTTAGCACGCCGCGGTATTGAATAGAGAGAAGTGTTATCCTTCTGAGCTGAGTGTTGCTTTCTTAAGCAAAATGCAATCATGATGATAAGCTTGGTAGCAGTAGACCATGCAGAACAAATATTAAATAACCTTTAGAAATATGCATCTTGAAGATATTTGCATTTTATCAGAGAGCTCAATTGTACACTTCACTTCGACAGAAATCAAGCTGTCATGTACAACATGATTCTATAACAAGGATAGAAGATGCAGCTACCAGAAAAATCTTGCTCAGCCCTAAAATTTAATCCTTCTTTTGAGCAGTAAAATGACTTCATCCAATTTTGTACATTCTCAAAGAATAAGAAATAACAGTAGAACCATGTAAACTATCTTCATGAAGAGATCTAATTCATCTAGAAACTGATAGTGTTCCTCATTACATCTAGCATCGATCACTGTACGTGTGGATATTTTTTCCTCCAGTACGTAGATGTAACTTGAAAGCTTCAATTCTTTCTTCATCTTTTGTTCCTGCATCTGAAATGAGTAATTTTGTTAAGCGCACTGAATTTAGAGAACAAACATGCAACTGCATATTATGCTTCTTGACAATTTATCAATAACTGATAAGTATGTTTTCCGCACCATTTCTAGTTTAATAAGGCAGCTTATCAGAAATTAACGTAGTGTTTGTTCAAAAGTAGTAGTAATATAAATACTTTTTTAGAAATGTAATAGAAATGCTCTAACAAGATTTGATCGTCTAAAAGAATAGGGAATAACAATAGAAATCATGAAAAGAAAACCTTACAATGAGAGACCTAATTCCTTTGGGAATTGGGATTGTTCTTGTTTGCATCTGTAACTGAGTAGTTCCTTGGTGCAGCCATTTGAAGCCCTCTTTGGTCAAATTGTGCTGATTGATCGTGTTCTTGATTTGGATTAATCTGCGCAGATGTAGATACTTGCGCCTCCATTGGATGTGCAACTAAAAAGGGTAGTTTTGTGAGAATACTGAAATTAGAGAAGAAACAATTCTATATTGTGCTCCTTGACAGTTTATCGAGACCTGATAAGTGTTAATAGCCATATACAAAGATGTTTCAACATTTTTTGACAATATAACAAAATTCCATGAAAATTTTGTCTCCATAATAAGTGATGCTTTGACATTTTACTTGACCAGACAATACTAGCTAGGCACTTGGTGATTGTAAACCTCTAAAAAGAAGGCCATTAGCTTGTGTTTCCTTGCATCTACAAAATATTTGAAATCCTAATTCAGTTTTTATTTTATCTTATCATTTCCTTGCATCTACGTAATATTTGAAATCCTAATTCATTTTTTTTAATTTTTTCCTCTCTTCCTTTTATCTGCACAATAGATGATGATAGCCACATATGCCTAGATAATTACAAATAATTTAAGCAACAGAATATAATAAGCTTATACTAGACACTTGTATATGTAGCTTTTAGCTTCATGTAAAAAGTTGAATGAATTAATACAAGTTTCTTTAATAAATCTTCAAAAAAACGGAATTCACGGATCTCTACATCGGTACCTGTTGAGTCTGTAAAACCTGCACCTTGTGGATTTTCAGGAAGAAGCCCATCAACATTGTTATTCAGCATCATGCTGTGATGCCCAATCTCTGATACACGTGCATCATACTCTGATGCATGTGCATGTGCATCATACTCTGATGCATGTAATTGTTCATTGTTGTGGTGCACGCCATATTGCTGTTGCCCGTGTGTCAGAGGATAAGTGTATGTAAGACCTGTTGAAACTACGGTTTAACAAAATATTTTTTTTGTGTGGTTTACATAAAAATTTTGAACAAATTAATTCGAGTTTCTTTGATCAATGATTCTACTCCAAAACATCAGCCAAGAAATTACCCGGTGAACCTGTATAATCAACATCCAATGCATTTCCACAAAGAAGCCCATCATCATAACTTGGAATCCTGCTCTCATTAGCATATTCATTTGACATCCTATTGCCCTGCTCTACGAACTCTTGCTGTAAAGAGGAATAAGCATGTGCAGGTGCGCGTGCACTTTCATCACACCCTTGTGCAGGCAACAGATTTCTGAAAGAACTATCCTCTTGTATGGGCCTCCTGAGTATCTCAGTGGACCCCACCAACTGTTGATTGTTGTTGTACATGTCATTCTGCGGTTGTGCTTGCGCCACAGGAGAAGTGTATGAAAAACCTGTCGAAACTATGGATTAACAAAATATTTCTTTTGTCATTTACATAAAAAGTTTGACGAACTAATACAAGTTTCTGTAATGATTCTTCACCAAAATAAAAATCAATGATTCTACTCTAGAACACCAGAAATGAATCACCTGTTGAGCTTGGGTTTTCATGAAGAAGGTCATCAAGACTATCATACATTGTCCTGTTGTGCAGCATATTCTCAGGCTGTGTGAAGGAATAAGCCTGTGCCCGTGGATCAAACTCTCGTGCAGATAATGGATTAATGAAAGAACTTCTATCTTCTTGTATGGGACTCCTGAATATCTCACTGGACCCCGCCAACTGTTGATTGCTGTTGTACATGTCATACTGCGGTTGTGCTTGCGCCACAGGAGAAGTGTATGAACAACCTGTCGAAACAATGGATTAACAAAATATTTCTTTTGTCATTTACATAAAAAGTTTGACGAATTAATACAAGTTTCTGTAATGATTCTTCACCAAAATAAAAATCAATGATTCTACTCTAGAACACCAGAAATGAATCACCTGTTGAGCTTGGGTTTTCATGAAGAAGGTCATCAATACTATCATACATTGTCCTGTTGTGCAGCATATTCTCAGGCTGTGTGAAGGAATAAGCCTGTGCCTGTGGATCATACTCTCGTGCAGATAATGGATTAATGAAAGAACTTCTATCTTCTTGTATGGGACTGCTGAATATCTCACTGGACCCCGCCAACTGTTGATTGCTGTTGTACATGTCATACTGCGGTCGTGCTTGCGCCACAGGAGAAGTGTATGGAAAACCTGTCGAAACTATGGATTAGCAAATTTTTTTATTTACATAAAAATTTGAACGAATTAATAAAGGTTTCTTTAGAAAATCTTCACAAAATCAGAAAAACCAATGATGCTACTCTTCAAAAATATTACCTGTTGAACCTGTGAAATGCACATCCCGTGCATTTTCACAAAGAAGTCCATCATCATAACTCTGAACCCCGGTCCTATTAACATAATCATTCGGCGTCCTATTTCTTTGCTCCGGGGACTCAGGCTGCCATGAAGAATAAGCATGTGCAGGTATTGGTGCACGATCTAAATCATCAGACCCACCGGCAAGCAAAGGACTTGTATTTTCTTGTATGGGAATCACTGCGTTGCTGTTGTCGATGCCATATTGATGTTGTGCCTGCGGCTCAAGATAACTGAAGTTGGTAGAGTTTATCGACTGTGTTGGATTTGGATTTAGATTCTTCAGATGTTGTAATTGTCGGTCAGGGTTGATGAATTCTTCACGAAGAGCATTGAAGTCGATATTGTAGTTAACATTGGAGGTAGAAGATTGCAATCTCTCGCTATCTGTGATTCGATATACTCCTTCTATTGAGTTCCAGTAGCTCTGTATTTCTATAGCGCTCCGACCAGGTAGCTGCAAAGCCAGACAGAACACATTGTTACATGAAATTAAATGTTTAAATGTGATATCTATGTATCTTGCATACTTTTTCTTGAAATTTATTCGTGTGATCTAGACATATATGACTCTTGGGTACTTTTCCTTGAGATTTAAAGTTCTCATATATATGAATCTTGCAGACATGTGAATATATGTGACATATATGAAGTGAGATATATATGAAATGAGGTTGAATGTTCAAACCTACATATATATGGACATTGGACATTTTTTCCCCTTAGAATTTAGTATTTGATCTTGATATGAAGGTGCATACCTTTTCTTGAAATTTAATCATGTGATCATCTTGACATATATGAATATTGGATACTTTTTCTTTAAATTTGACACTTGATTTTGATATGAATGATGTTCCATACTTTTTCTTGCAGACATGCGAATGCGATTTGTAAGAGATGAGGAATGAATGTTCAAATGTGATATCCATGAGTCTTGGATACTTTTCCTTGAAAATTTAAGGTATGGTTTTGACATGTATGAATCTTGCATACATATGACTGTGATAATGTGAAACGAGATGCGCATGCATATGAATCTTGCATACTTCAAAATGTGGTTTTGATTTGTCAATATGTAAAAGCACGCATACTTGTTCGGCGATGGCAGACCAACTGTTTCCCAATGTATCACGCAAGCGCATGATGGTCCTGAGCTCCTCGTCAGTGAACAGCCCCTTCTTACGATCGGGGCGAAGATGAACCCTCCACCGATTCTCACAGCTCCTGCCAGAACGACGCAATCCAGTGTTCTTCTCCACGGCCTTCCACTTTCCCTCTCCATACTTTTTGACATAATCTTTAAGAATCTCGTCCTCCCTCGGAGTCCACGGCAGACGGCTTTTATAGCCGTCGTTACTGCCGTCAGTGATTATTGGTCCCTTCTTAAGATTGTGGCGAACATGGTGCGTCCACCGATATCTGCAGCTCTTGTCGTCACGCCGCAACCCCGTGTTCTTCTGCACCGTGTTCCAGTTTCCCTCTCCATTCTTTCTGACATAATCTTCAAGAATCTCGTCCTCCCTCTCGGTCCACAGCCTTCGACTCGACGGCTCTTCTTTACTGTCACCCTTCTGACTCGACAGCTCTTCTGGAAGCTTGCGGTCACCGTCGTCATTGTCGCCAGCCATGTCTTTGCCAGCCATTGCAGATGGTATCGTTGTGAAGAGGAGGAAGACGATGTTGATCAGCAACCCAACGAAGAACTGCAGGAATTTCTTATTCTTGATGATGATCAGCAACCCAACGAAGAACTGCAGGAATTTCTTCTTCTTTTCTTTTCTTTTCTTTTTTTCCTTTTTCCTTTTTTTGGTTTGAATGGGAATGGGGTGATGGTATGATGTTGGTTTCTAGTTCTTGTGTTGTTGCTTTGTGAGGAGGCTTTAAAGAGGTGATGAGAGATTCTTGTAATGAGAAGAGTTGTTCTGTTGGTCAGTTGAGGGGTGTGAGTTTTTTTTAGTTAAATGTGAGCAAGGTCAGTTGCGCTCTTGTTAAATAACATCTTGAGTTCTTGATATGCAAAATTAATTGCACTGCACTTCAATTCTTTGGGTAAATTTCACAAAACCCCCATTAAGATTTGGCGAATTATGGATAGCCCCCTAAACTTGAAAAATGTCGGTTAATCCCATTATGTTTAACAGACCTAGGTACCCATATCAAATTTAACACTCTAACTATTAAATTAAATTTTAAAGGTATTTTTCGCAAAAAAACTTTAAGTTTTGTCTAAAAATGGGACGAACTTAAAGGGTTTTGTGAAAATTACCTTTAAAATTATTTAAATGGACAGATATAAGGGTTTTCCCGCCTCCATAATGGACATTTTAGACATTTGGATGCATGTGATATTCACGTGCACAATGAGATCTAATTGTGTTATCCACGGGGTTATCTGACAAAACTTCTATTTTTTTTGGGTGGGGGGTTGATATTTCTAAAGTTTACTGGGGTTATCCCAAACCAGACAAACTTAAACGGGTTTTGTGAAATTATCCTTATTTGTTTACTTATCAGCCAAAGTTCGGGGTATCTTTTTTGTGAAATTAACCCAAAGCGAAGACCCAACGAGAAGGGCTTAAACCCCTTCCAAAACCAACATAAAGGAATTTTATGCCAAACTTTGGGAGCTTGACTATAGATTCTGCTAGCAGACATTTTTATGCGAAGTTGAAGAAAGCATATCATGTCATAAAATTGAATTGGTTTTTTTTTTTTTTTTGGCCCTCCTTTTGAGTTGAGTATTGCATTCTTAAAAAATTACAACCATGATAAGCTTGGCAGTAGCACTCCATGTAGAAAAATGAAAACATCAACATAGGCCTAAAGAAATATGCAGCATGAAAGTATCCTGTTGAGCCAATAATTTATCAGTAAGCTCTATGGTCTCATTTGTAAGGACAATTCTATAACAAGGATAAAAGGTGAAGTTAAGGAGGAAGGGGAAAAAAAACCTGCACAATCAATCAACCTTAAACAATTTCTATACTTGAGCTCCGCCAAGTGATCTTAGCTTTCAATGTCCAGGAAAAAAAGAACTCTACTCGGTCCGAAATTTAATCTTTCTTTTTGAGCAGATAAAATGACTTCATTAATTTTGTACAATTTCAAAGAATAAGGAATAACAATATGGACCACGTAAAATATCTTCAACAACATGTTTAGTTCATGTGGAAATTGATCTTGTTAACTGTACATGGGGATGCAATTTCTCCATCCGATGTATTGAACATGAAAGCTCCGCTTCATTCTTCATCTTTGCTCCTGCATCTGAAATGAGTAGCTTTGTGAGAATACTGAAGTTAGAGAAAATTTACAGGAATCATGAGCAAGGATTCTCAAACCTATTTCTTCTGGAAATTAGGATTGTTCTCGGTTACATCTGTATCTGAGTTGTTTCTTGTTGTAGGCATTTGGTGCTCTCTTTGGTCTAATTGTGCTGATTGGCTCAGTACTTGGTTTGGATTAGTAGGTGCGGATGTTGATGTTTCCGCCTCCTGTGGACGTGCGACTGCAAAGAGTAGTTTTGGGAGAATAATAGAATTAGAGAAGAAACAAATCAACGATTACATCCTGCGCTTTTTGACAATTTATCTAGACAGGGCTCAGTACTTCTCAATTCCCACCTTTTATAATTCAAGAAGACAGGCTCAGGAAACAAAAACCGTTGAAACTATGTATTAACAAAATAATTTGTTGTGTTTTGCATCAAGAGTTGAACGAATTAATACGAGTTCTGTAAATCAATCTTCAGAAAACAGAAAAATTGATGGCCCTATGCTAAAACCTTGGAAAAGATATACCAGTTGGGCATGTAAAACCAGCACCTGATGCATTTTCAGGAAGAAGCCCATCAGCATTATCGGTCAACTTCGTGCCCCGCTGCCAATTCTCAGTTTGCAAAGGGAAGAGAACACGCGTATGTTCATCATACTCCGGAGGGCCAGCGTGTGGAAAACCTGTTAAACTGTGGATTAGCAAAATGATTTTTTGTGATTTACTTAGAAAGTTGAACGAATTAATACAAGTTTCTTTAATCAATGTTTCTATTCCAAAACACCAGAAAAATTGTACCTGTTGAGCCTCTGTAACCAACATCCCTTGTATTTTGACGAGGAAGCTGCCTACTCTGATTCCTGAGATGTCGTAATTGTTGGTTACTGTTGAAGGTATTTTTGACTCCATGTCTGATTCGCTGTTCTTTCCTTATCTTCAGTGTCCAGTGGTTCCAGATTTCATAATCGGTCCGACCAGGCAACTGCTAATTTGGACACAACACATTAGTACATGAAATAAAGTCAAATATTCAAATGTGATATGTGCGAATCTTGCATACTCTTCCTTGAAATTCAATTTTATGGTTTTCATACGTGTACGAATCGTGCACACATATGAATATGATATGTATGAACTGAGCATGATGTTGGGAATTTAACGCTGAAATCCCTAATGCAACGGAAACGCAGAATAGAGAACAGTACACCAAGATTTACGAGGTTCGGCAACTGCCTACGTCCTCGGGAGCCACACAGTTAATTTCTTATTTAATCTAACAAGAAATTACAAGTTAAGAGCAAATCTCTAAACTGAGATTCCTCAAATTAAACACTGTAGCTACAGTGTTAATACCCACTTTAAAATACCCTTTTCTCTTTTCTCTCTCTTCTTAAACCCTTTCTTTATCTCCCCTCAAATCCCTAATTTGAGAGCTGGAGATCAAAAAATAAAATCGCTGCTGCGATTTTCAAAGGGATTAAACGCTGCTGCGTTAAGGGGCTTCGCCACCGCCGCCAGAGAAAAGTCGGGGGAGAGAGCAGCAGGAGCTAGGGCATCGGGGGGGGAGCTCCTCCGCCGTTGGAGGTTGGTATCCATCTTCAACCTAACAATCTCCCACTTGGAGACCAAACCGACGTCAACAGGCTATCTCATCAAGCTCCTCTCCTGTGTGGCTCCGCCTTCATCATCTATGCATGAAGGCCAACTGAAGTTGCACACAACTCCAGTTTCTGAAAGGTCGCTGCCTTTGTCAACATATCCGCTGGATCCTTTCTTCCTTGGATATTCTGTTGAAATCCTTTGACAACTCGTCGAGCTCTGTATCTTCTCGAACCATTCTGCTCCTTTTTCACTCGATACACCCACTTGTTGTGACGTGCCTTCTTCCCCATGGGCAACTCAGCTAGTCCCCATGACTGGTTGGAGATCAGAGATTTCTTCTCTTCTTTCGCAGCAAACTCCCACTTGCTCGCATCTCCACTCTGACAAGCTTCATCAAAGCTTTCAGACTCTCCTCCATTTGTCAGCAACATATAATTCATGTATCTGCTGTTAGGCACAGGAGGACGAGTACTTCTCCTTAACATCGGAGCTGGTGCGTCGGGCTTCTGCGCACCATTCTGTCCAACAGTCTCTTCTGGCTGAGGATCTTCTGCATTGGGTTCTTCCGAGAGGTTATCCGGAACATCATCTGCATCTACAAATGTTGACTCGCTCTCTGAGTCACCGTCATCTGTCTTGTGCATGTCCTTGTACATCACCTTCTCGTTGAATGTCACATCTCTGCACCTGATCACCTTCTTGTTTTCGTTGTCCCAAATGCGGTAGCCGAACTCGTCTTCACCATACCGATGGAATGTGCATTTCTTAGACTTGGGATCAGGCTCATTCCTGCCTTGATCACTTATATGCACATAAGCTACACAACCGAAAACTTTGAGATGTGAGAGGGTTACCTCCTTTCCGCACCATACCTCCTCTGGTATTCTGTGCTCCAATGGAACCGATGGACCTCGGTTGATCAAGTAAGCTGCTGTGTTGACTGCTTCTGCCCAGAACTGCTTCGGTAGACCTGACTGCATCCGAATGCTTCTGGCTCTCTCTGGCACCATACCTCCTCTGGTATTCTGTGCTCCAATGGAACCGATGGACCTCGGTTGATCAAGTAAGTTGCTGTGTTGACTGCTTCTGCCCAGAACTGCTTCGGTAGACCTGACTGCGTCCGAATGCTTCTGGCTCTCTCTGTCAACGTTCTATTCATGCGCTCAGCCACACCATTGTGCTGAGGCGTGCCGGGCACGATCCTCTCCATTCTGATACCGTGCTCATATGGCTCGTCGATTCACTTCAATCGTTCATCGACGTCGATTAGGCTCATGTGGGTCGGATAGTGACGTTCATCGTTGTTCTTTAATACCGAACCGTTTGTGGAGACCTATAGGCAATTTTCGATGCCTACAGTGCACTGGAGTACTAGTGACAACATAAACTAACTGTAAGTCATGGTAATTAGTTAAACAAGTTCATGAGAGTTTTCTGTAATTTATGTTGTATAGAGGGGTCTTAACGAATGGGTTGTGAACTTTATCCTTCTTTTTTATTTACGTGACGTTATCAACTAGAGCTATCCTAATCTTATATGCATCATAATACTGGTCTTGGTTTGACGATGTTTGGGTCCTGAATTTCTCCTACATTCTTGTGATATATTGCATGGGCAGGCTCTGAAAGCTGAAGGTCAGGTATGGCTACTCTCAAACACGGACCCAAAGGAGGACATTGTGCATGCCAACGACTCCAAAACAGAGATGCAGGTCGATGACGATCTAAAGGAGTTCTTCAGGAGCATTGTTCTGCCCACTGAAATGTAAGAAATCGAGAAGGATCTTGTGATGGATGGGTTGAATCCAGCAACTGACACTGAGAACTGAGAAGAGAAGTTCCATTGCTGAGGCCCTTGGAGTGCCGTCTCAGCCCATGAAGCTAAAGAAGAAGGAGAAGGGCGTCACTAAGAGGACCAAGCTCATTAATGCTCATTTGCCAGAGCTTTCTGAAAATTTGGAAGGCTCTTCTATTCTTGATAATGAAGGTAATCAGATTCTTACAGTCTTGCAATATTAATTCTATATACCTGACATCAAAATTTGTTATATCATTTTTCTTCATCTATAATAAAACAAACATAGAGGCCAGCTTAGTCCACCTATGAGAAAGCAGGGAAGCAATACTCTTCATATCAGATATTTCCAAATGTTTACCATATTCAACTGTTTGCATGCAAAAAATTATTTTACCATCAGTACCGATAATACCTTCTATAACTAGATCTCCATATGATGTTCTCTTATAATATATAGTCCAACTAAACAAGCAAGCGTTCATACCGAGCTACTAAATCCAACTTAGTCCACTTGGAACGAATAGTGATAATTAGCAGAGTGGTCGCTTGACAAAAGAGGCCACAGATTAGACCTAGCCATAATCCCTGCAAGAATAAAAGAAAAGGTGTTTACAACTTCTCATGCATAGTTGTGATTTCAAATAAACTAATAGAGAACATGTATATGTTGGGAATTTAACGCCTAAATCCACTAATGCAACAGAAACGCAGTATAGAGAACAGTACACCAAGATTTACGAGGTTCGGCAACTGCCTACGTCCTCGGGAGCCACACAGTTAATTTCTTATTTAATCTAACAAGAAATTACAAGTTAAGAGCAAATCTCTAAACTGAGATTCCTCAAATTAAACACTGTAGCTACAGTGTTAATACCCACTTTAAAATACCCTTTTCTCTTTTCTCTCTCTTCTTAAACCCTTTCTTTATCTCCCCTCAAATCCCTAATTTAAGAGCTGGAGATCAAAAAATAAAATCGCTGCTGCGATTTTCAAAGGGATTAAACGCTGCTGCGTTAAGGGGCTTCGCCACCGCCGCCAGAGAAAAGTCGGGGGAGAGAGCAGCAGGAGCTAGGGCATCGGGGGGCCTGGCGACAGCCTGTCGCCAGCGGTGCAGCGGACGCGATGGTGGGGGGTCGCTCGAACGCGAGGGTCGACGAGCTTGAACGCGCGGGTCAGGTCGTTCACACCGAGGGTCGCGTTCGTCGAGCGAGGGTCGCGTTTGCCCAAAGCCACCATCGCGTTCGTCGTCGAATTCGCTGAGTCGACGCTCGCCTGCTCCAACCTGGAGCTCGTCGGAGCTTCGCCGGAGCTCCTCATCGTCGTCGGAGGTTGGTATCCACCCTCAACCTAACACATGACTGTTCAAACGTGACGTATATGAATTTCGAATACCTTTTTTCTGGAATTTGAACATATGATTTTGGTATGTATGAATCTCGCATAGTTTTTCTTGCATATGAATGTGATATGCACAATACGAGAGTGACTGTTCAGATGTGATATGTACGAAACTTGGGTGCCTTCTCATAGAATTTAGCATATGAGTTTGACATAAACCGTCTTGCATTCATATGAATGTGATACGCAGGAAATGAGAGTGACCCATCAAATGTGATGTATATGAATCTTGAATGCTTTTTCTTGAAATTTAACATGTGATTATAATATAAATGAATCATGCATACATATGAATGTGAAATGGGTGAAATGAGAGTGAATGTTCAACCATGACAAATATAGATCTCGCATACTTCTTCATGAACATTATCATGTTTTTATTGAAAAATACTTACTTCTTCGGCGATTTTAGCCCACTTGTTTCCCCATGAATTGTGCAAGCTCTGAATCGTCTTCGACTCCTCGTCAGTGAAAGATCCTTTCTTAAAATTGGGGCGAAGATGGCGCATCCATCGATTTCTACAGTTCTTGCCATCACGATTCAATCCAGTTTTCTTTGGCACTGCATTCCAATTTCGCTCTCCATTATTCTTGACATAATCTTTAAGAATCTCATCCTCGCTCGGAGTCCATCTCCGCCTATGCTTGAACTTAGATTCACCATCGTCATTGTTGCCAGCCTCGTCTTCAGCCGCCATTGCAGATTGTGTCTTTGAGAAGACGATGATGACCACTGACCCAATGAAGAACTGCTGAAGGTTCTTCTTCGTTTTATTTTCTTTTTTCTGTTCTTTTCTGGTTTGAATGAGGATGGAAGGAAATTATGATGGAGCAGGCTTCAGAGAGGTAACAAGATTCTTGTACTGAGGAGGGTAGTTATGTTTGATGATAGGGGAGTTCTTGAGTAATGCTGTCCATTAAATGTGAGCGATTGATTTTTTTTTTTTTCTTGTGAAAGACAGGATTATGCGCTTCGTGTTTGTTGTTTGATGTCTGAGGTTTTGATATGAAGATTTGCACTGCATTTCTATTCTATTTTTCTTTTACTTTATGTTTTGGGTTAGTTTCAGAAAACCCATTAACTTTGGGGGTTTTGCAGACTACCCCCTTGTATTTTATTTTCTAAATAGTCTTCCAAGGGTTCGGTGGAATAAAAGAAGCTAGGAGGAGGGTTATGTGCAGAACTCCTCAAAGTTAAAGTGGTTTTTCGGAATTAAAATAGTTAGGGGGTCATATGCAAAAACCGCAGGTTAATTGAAGGGGTTCTTTTTTCTTCTATATATATAAGCAAATAATTTATCAGTGCGCTCAATCGTATCATTTTCTTGTTTCCTGTTATTGATTGCATTGCATCTTGGTTTGAATTGCATCGATGATTACTGTATACGTGGACGTTTCTTCCTCCAGTGGATTGATTAACATATTCTGCTCATTTTTGTTCCTGAATCTGAAAAGATTAATTTTGTTAGAACACTGAGGTTTTCTCTTTATCAAGAACAATAAGGTGGTGTTTATTTAAAAATTAAAAGTAGTAGTAACAAAAATATTTATAATATAGGTGAGCATGTTGGCAGTTAAAAATATATATGTGCCCGAAATAGGTGTAGTACTCTAATTGAGGTTTTAAAAAGATAGAGAATTTTCATGAAAATTTTTATGAATTTTAGCACAGGATTTCTGACCCCACAAAAACTAGGCCAAAAAGTGCTTACATTATCCAAAAAGCTAAGTTGCTGTCCTTCTTGTTCTCCCAAGCTAGCAAATAATAATAATAAAATAAAAAAAAGATAAAAAAAATAGAAGAGAAAACCCTGCAACGTGAAGAACACTGAAAGTAAGCCAAAAGAAAAGCGCAGCATGAAGATATATATATATATTTGGCATTTATTTAGCCAATAATTTCAATAAAATCCATGTTGCAAATTGCCATGAGAGCAAAGAAAGTGCCATACAATAATTACTCAAACATAAAAATTGCATATGACAACTAAATAAGGGTAAATAATGATGAGTATTGAGGCTTAATGCATAAGCAGAGACCCTAAGACTCATGAAAAGATCAAGCAATATCAAGCAATCTTATGTATATATATAAATTGAATCTGAAAGAATAAAAAGAATTAAATGTTCTGAAAAAAATGTTACAACGATCTCTAACAAAATTCACCAATTTACATCATACTCGTCAACATGTGATATATAAGAGGTCTCAGAAAATGAAGGGCAAAAAAATCACAAGGAGTAACCTAACCTAATCTATCTGGTAATCGAGATTGTTCTTGGTTGGAACCGGTTAGTGAGTTATTTCTTGTTGCAGCAATTTGAGGCCATGCTTGCTGCTCCAGTTGTGCTGATAGGTTTGAATTAATGAACGGAGTTCGTGGCATTCCCTCCTCAAATGCATTTGCCGTGTAATCTTCTGTTCTTTCCCTCCTCGCCGTCGCTGCTCCTGTAACAACATTGAAATTTGAAGGCGGATGTTCATTCAAAAGTTTAAAAAAAAAAGTATCAGAGTATCGTAGAAATGAATAGGTTCATCTATATGAATGGCGCTACTAAGGCATAACTTAAATGTTTAAAAAGAAGCCAGGTACAACTCAAAATTGAGGTTAAAATGATTGAGAATTGATCGAGATTTTGAAGTGTTAGGATATGTGAAGCCTAACTATCAGACTCGCCCTTGACTTCAGATTGAAGAAGAAACAGGAGAAACAGGATCGACGACGATGAAGTTCAAGCAAAACGGCGAAGTATGCATTTTGACCGGATCGCGGTCGATCGCACATGGCGCGGCGGTCGACCGCAAATGTGCACAGGCATGAGCATTTGGTCAGAAGTTCGTCGCGGTCGACCGCGCATGGCGTGGCGGTCGACCGCCAAAAGTCTAGAGACTTTTGCGCGGTTGACCGCGCGTGGCGCGGCGGTCGACCGCGAGTCGGGTTTTGGCCCAGTTTGGCTTTTGATCTGTTTCCTATTCCCGTTTGTAAAACCCTTATATCTATAAAAGGGTTGATTAGGGCATGATATAATTAAGATGAAAATAGTGAAATTTTCTCCTGCGGCGGTCGTGGACGTAGTTTCTCACATTGAGAAGCGAACCACATAAATCTTGTGTGTTTGTGATTGTGATTATTTCTCTCCTCTCTCCCAAATCTCTATTTTCAAATCGCATCAGGGGGGTTGTCCATCCTCATCAAGTGGTATCAGAGCGATCAGGTTCAGCGTGGGTGATTTGAGGTCAGAGACATGTGATCTGAGAAGGAGACATCCAAGATTGAGAAGTTTGATGGAACAAACTTCGGGTTCTGGAAGATGCAGATTGAAGATTACCTCTATCAGAAGGATTTATACCTACCACTGGGAAAGAAGCCGACGGATATGAAGGATGTGGAGTGGAAGTTATTGGATCGAAAGGCCCTCGGAGGGATCAGGTTGACCATGTCGAAATCAGTAGCGTTCAACATCAAGAATCAGAATACGACGGCGGATCTCATCACGGCGTTGTCCAGTATGTATGAGCAGCCCTCTGCGGCGAATAAGGTACATCTCATTAAAAAGCTGTTTAATTTGAGGATGTCCGAGAGCCAGAAATTCAAGGAACACCTGAACGAGTTTAACGAGATCACGGATCAACTAAACTCGGTCAATATTCAATTTGATGATGAAATCCAAACCCTCTTGATACTTGGTCAATTACATGACAGTTGGAAGGATACCGTTATTTCAATTAGTGGATCATGTGGTAAATCAGAACTGAAGTTTTCAGAGGTGGTTGTTTTCGTCGAAAGTTACCTTAGTCATTGATTTCATTAAACTTTAATCGTTACAAATGAATTCAAACAACAAAAGAATAAAAGATTACAACTTTCTCGAAAATAACACAAGATCCGTTCGTCATCTCTTGCTTGCGTGGGTCTTTAGCCTGTGACGGGGACGTTGATATCCGTGGACTACCTGGCAATCAGATCTGGTCCAGAGCTTCGTCGATCCGCGAGGAGATCTAGAAACAGAAGCGTCTATCTCGATAAAAGCGAGATAATTGCTCTTCTTAGAATTACCACAACGGGATAATACTAAGGATTTGATGCGGGTGATGTAGATCTGGCGACTCTCGATCACTTGTGTTGAAGAACTTGATCACTCTTCAGTTCGGCAGGGCTTCGCCAATTCTCCAAAATTCCAGAGCTGAAAAAATGAGGGCCTGAGGCTTATATTTATAGGCTTGAGGGGTTGCGGAGCGGTTAAAACCACCTAAAGGGCCCAAATCCGCGTTGGAGACACCCTAGGGTGTCTCCCAAAATCCGAGACACTCTGGGGTGTCTCCCAAAATCCGAGACACCCTGGGGTGTCTCCCAAAATCCGAGACACCCTAGGTTGTCTCGGCTTTGACCGAGACACTCCGTTAAGGTGCATTCGTCCGCTTCCGCTGTAAATTCTTCGTCCGAACTCGGATTTGAGTGATTCGAAGTGCGTTGGAAAGCCGACAAGGAGTTCTATCAGCTCCAATGGTTGGATTATTTGTAGAATGAATGATACACGAAGGGCATTGTTCCTTTTGTAAACATCGCGGGGGCTCCCGATTAGCCCGTACCTTCGTTATTCCGAAATTCTGTCAGCTCACGTAGTTCGTCGATTCACTTCAAGCGTTCACCGACGTCAATCGAACTCCTGTGAGTCGGATAGTGACGTTCATCGTTGTTACTTAACACTGACCTGTTTGTGGAGACCTATAGGTAATTTTCGATGCCTACAGATACCCCCTCCAAAGCGTTCCAGACTCGTTTCTTTTATAGAGGAGGCTGGAATACTTTGGATGTGATTGGTCCAGCCTTCAAGGACCTGTGGTTAGCTTCAACTCTTGGCTCCTTCGATTTTCGGTCTATCCAATGCTTTGATGAATAGCCGAAGTCCTTCCGGCGCTGCGTTTATCGCTTGGCCGTCGTCGGAGTCTCGAGTCTACAGCTGATGAATTGAGTTTGGCTCGTGTCATTGAGTTGACTTTGAACTGACTACCTCCGTCACATTGTGTTGACTTAGGGTTTCGAACGTCGAATGTCGATTTTTTAGTCGCAACGCGTTGACTGGCGTTGACCTAGGGTTACGCGTTGACCGGCGTTGACCTTAGGGTTTCGAACGTCGAACGTTGACTTTTTGGTCTCAACGCATTGACTGGCGTTGACCTAGGGTTACGCATTGACTGTCGTTGACCCTAGGGTTTTGAACGTCGAACGTTGACTTTTTGGCTGTAACGCGTTGACTGGCGTTGACCTAGGGTTACGCGTTGACCGGCGTTGACCTTAGGGTTTCGAACGTCGAATGTTGACTTTTTGGTCGTAACGCGTTGACTGGCGTTGACCTAAGGTTACGCGTTGATCGGCGTTGACCTTAGGGTTTCGAACGTCGAACGTTGACTTTTTATACTCATACGTACACAGTTTAAGCTCTTAAGGTATTGGAGCATGGCGGTCCCAAACGTTGGGGCTGTAGGACCAACTGTTAAAGCTGATTCATCTGCATGTGTGAATCTTATCCTGAATTTGTTGGATGCTTAAGTCACGAGACCAACTAGTGGAGCTGGTGCGTCAATGACTCACATTTATAGAATTTTTGGCAAATTCTCAGATTTCAACGGGTTTGATGAGCCTTTACCGACTACCGTTTGAGTCGGGCTAGCATGCGGATTGTTTAAGTACGCGGGTTTGATGAGCCTTTACCGACTACCGTTTGAGTCGGGCTAGCATGCGGATTGTTTAAGTACGTTCCACATGTGACGTTGTGCTAAAAGAGTTAACCCTTTTAGTGCTACGATATTGAATACGTAGACTTCATCTTTCTCACGGGAATAGACTACCCGGGAGACTCGAGGTGGGATCTCCACCCCCAGAATCCGGAAAGGTGAAACTAGGAGTGGGATCTCCACTCCGAGAATCGAAAAGATTCGGATAACCCTAACTGTCGGAAGGTTTGATTACTGAACTAAATGAATGAACTCCCTTAGACTTGATGCTACGACTTCGAATACGTAGACTTCGCCATTGTTACAGGAACAGGCTACCCGGCAACGCGTGCTAGGCGCTGACTTATCCTTACTTAGGATTCAGGATAAAAGTCCCCAGACTCGGATTCTGGTGTCCTTTTCAATCGGTAAAAGACTAAACCGGCAACGCGTGTTAGGCGTTGGCTTATCCCTGCTTAGGCTTCGGGATAAAATTCCCCATGCATAAAAGGCATGGATTTTTGTTGCTACGATGCTGAATACGTAGACTCGGTCGTTTTTACGGGAACGAACCACCCAGTAACGTGGGTTAAGCACTGACTTATCCCTACTTAGGCTTCGGGATAAAATACCCCAGACTGGATTCTGGTGTCTTTTTCAATCGGTGAAAGACTAAACCGGCAACGCATGTTAGGCGTCCTGCTTAGGCTTCGGGATAAAATTCCCCATGCATAAAAGGCATGGATTTTGGGAGTTGAAAAAGGTGGTGTCTTCTCTTGGGGCAAAGACGAACCCGAAATGGGAGAGGAAGAATTTTATATTCTATCTCCCGACACTGAGGAAGAAGAATTTTATATTCTATCTTCAGCTGGAAAGGAGACTCGAGGTGGGATCTCCACTCCTAGAATCCAAAAAGATGAAACTAAGAGTGGGATCTCCACTCCGAGAATCGACAAGATTCGGATAACCCTAACTGTCGGAAGGTTTGATTACCGAACTAAAGATAAATTTCTCGTTTATCGAGAGTGAATTGTGGTTTTGATCCTAACTATAGGAATGTTTGACCAAACGGGGGTTTAAGATGACCCTAACTGTAGGAAGGTTTGATCACTCGATTTGAAAGTGGACCTCTCGTTCATGGAAGGAATCGAGAGGGGATTCTGGCTTTGGCCCTAACTTTTATAGGTTTGACCAAGGAGGCAGTGGAAGTGGGGGGTCTGAGACGATCTTACCTTTTATAGGCTTGATCGCTCAATTTAAAAGTGGACCTCTCGTTCATGGAAGGAATCGAGAGAGGAATTTGGCTTTGGCCCTAACTTTTATAGGTTTGACCAGGTAGCTCAGTGAGAGTAGGAGTACAAATCACAACAGAGAGTGTTGACTCATAACAAATCACAGTGGGGTTTAGTGTTTATCACTTTGTTTGTAATGATCGGGTTATCCTAGAGAGATTACATATAGTATTTTTCCCAGGAACTTCCCGTTACATGAATCATCCACCCCCAGCTTCTTCACGAAACTGGGTTTATCATTGCATTCGGTTACATGATCGGGTTATCCTTAAGAATATTACATATAAAAATTCTCGCAGGAACTTCCCGTCAACGGTAAGAAACAGTTTAGACTGCATATACTATTGCAGTATCAGGAAGCAGTTTATACTCTTATACTTGTCGGAGTGTAGAAATGAGCAGTTTATACTCTTATACTTATCGGAGTGGTGCCGTTCTTAT